GTAACATATTCAGGTTCGACTTGGGTCTCAGCCTGAGGCCTTCTTGTACAAGTCACTGCATGAGTGCATGCCATAAGATTGGATAATGATAATGGAAAAAGGCTGAATTTGGGCTTTTAAATGAGACATTTTTGTGTTCTACAGTTAGCAAAATGTAATCCTTTTCTTATTGTAAGGAAATATGAGAATTGTAACTAGGTCATGAGAGGATAGGAGCTCAGAAACAGAGCAGAGGTTTACAGAGCAGGGAACAGTTTTACTTGCAAGGAGTTTATGGAAATGATTTGGGTAAAGCAGCAGCAAAGACCTAAATTTACCTGCAACATTGAAAAGAAATAAGAGCAAGTTCATATTTTTCCTACATCCTGTATTTTGATTGCAGCTCTTCACTGTAAATAGAAAAATGGCAGTCTGCACTGAACTTCAGGATTCTGCAGCATGTAAGAGTGTAGCAAACAGAGTTTAGTTCATCATCCTGAAAAATACAGCCAGGGGAGTGAGGTGTGGGGAGAGATATGTGAGATAATTTCCCAGATTGCTTCCTTTGGAGCTCTGATGTGGTGCTTCCCCAGCGTAATACATCTAAAACAAAATGACAGAGGATACTCGATACCCATCCATTCCCTACAGTCTATATGACTGCTGAGAAAGAATTCAAACTTTATTGTTCTGACATGATGAAAGGGTTCAAGAGTCTGAATGCACATTATTCAAGTTCAGCTTAGGAAGGTAAGACACAAAGTCAGAGGTGCTGTGAGTGAGAAACCAGGCTAATCTGTATGGTGCTCGAGGTGCAGAAAGAGTCAGCGATATTTCCTGGACAAATCTTTACTGTACCTAACCCCATTTTCTGTCCTAAGCCACAGTGGAGGTTCTTAGCCGTAACACAATTTTAGTGTTTTCAGTTACCATTTAAACCAATTGTTCTCATAAAGAAGTAACCCTTCATGCCTCTTAAGATCCTCTTCTGGGGACTCTAGGCTTGACTTAACATGTTCATAAAAGTACCTTTAAATAACATAAGACTGACCCATGTTTACAGCTTCTTGTAATAGTGCCAAATTCCAGAGGAAGGGTGACCAGACATCCTTTCTCCTCAGTAACACTAAAGCATATCCCCACATGGCATACGCACATATGCACATGCAGGCTCTTAAAAATTAAATTCAGTAGGCTTCAGAGCATACATACAGCACACAAACTCATACGGCTTCAGAACACTGTGTAGGTTTTCCCCATAACTGACTTCATAGGGCAGCCTGGAGAGCAGCAGCACAAGATGCCTCAGCTAAACGGCAGATTCCTAGTGGGCTGAGCGAGAAAAACTAGAGTATTGACCAGTTAGATACAGCAGTGTGATTCAGTATCTCCCCAGCGAGTTGCAGAGTAACATGGCAATACAGTGTTCCCATCTGAAAGAAGGATAAGAATATTCTTGGACATATTTCTTTCTTCATCAACAAGATACACTTTCCAGCATCATATACATATTCAGCAAACCGGAAAACCCAGCTCAGTTCAACAGTTGCTCTCAGACATACAATAACATTTCACATGTAACATGCAAACCTCCTTGACACAATGCTCTGTGTAGAACTGAACCAGTAGTGTGTTCTGTAATTATCCCACTTTCCTCCTAAGGCACTGTATATCCTGCTGATTAAGATGGCAAATTAAATAAAACTGAAAAGCATCAATTTCTGGAAAGTCAGGGATGTCTGGAAATCTTGCTTTTTGAGGCAGAGATGGTATGGGAATATACTGCAAAGGAGTCATACCTGCAAGAAGGATGTGTAATAAAGAAAAGGAGAAAGGACAATGAATGAAACACATGATACTGAACTAGAGGAAGATGTGGTTTTCCCTAGAACAAGTTTTACAGTTTTAGGAACTCTATCATTCTCTAATATTCCCTCCAGTTAAAATCTAGTCTAAAAAAAAAAAGAAAACAAAAAGAAATCCAGTCCCCCTAGATCTGAAATGTAAGGCTGGAGAATCAGAAACTCCCTAAAGAACAGTAAGAAAAGATATTTAGTTGGATTGGTGGGTTCAAGACAGTACAGTAGTCTCTCTTCCCATTTCTTACCTATCCAGGAGGACGCTGCCAAGAGAAAAAATATTCTTCTATTTTATGCAGTAAGTCATTGTGTTTCTTGGAAGGAAAACCATGTTTCACAGTTCTCTAGCTGCGGAACACTGATTCAGTACTTTAACACAGGGAGGTATGACACTTCCTTATGAAAGGAAGCCATGGTTTCACGTTATATCTCATGGTGCAGGTACTTTTGGTTAATTTTCAGGCACACAACCTTAAAACCTCAGGTATCATTTTCTCTTATTGTATTTATCTCTGTGCCTAAGCATACTCTAAAAGGGGTTAAACACTGAACAGAGTGTGCTCTATTGCGAGGTGAAGATTTAACCATTTGCTTAACAGCACAA